AATGTATTAGAAGAAGGACTAATCTATATAGAAGTCCGAAGATAAAGTATAGTAGTTGCAGCCTTAGGCATTAGGCACGTAATAGACCCTAATACCTAGGCATACACTCTAAGTGTACTAACACCTAAGATACTAGCGGCTATTAAGAGGGTTCAAAAGATGCGAGAGATTTACGCTAAGATAGCTAACAAACTAGCGAAGGCCTAGGCCTATTAGAAGGCCTATTACGACAAACACTATATACCGATAACCTTTAAGCAAGGCGATATAGTTATGCTAAGCACTAAGAACCTCCGCATCCGTAAGCACCTATCCCCTAATAGCAAAATAAGGCCTAAGCTCGTACTAAGATACATTAGTCTATTCCGCATTCGAGAAGTTAAGGGCTCCTCCGTATAGGCCTATTAGTTGTAGCTTCCTCCTTATTATACTATCTATAATACCTTCTATATATCCCTCCTTAAGCTATATTACCTACGCGAGGGGGATAAAGCCCCTACTAAACACGAAGACATACTAGCGGATAGTAAAGAGCTATAGTCTATAGAACGTATTCTAAAGCACCGGACTAGGTAAGGCAAAAAGGAGTACCTCTTAAGATAGCAAGGCTATTCGCCTAAATAGGACTCGTAGGAAGATAAAGCCTCTTTTAAAGACATAACTAAGTTGTTAGATAAGTATTAGACTAGCGTAAAGAATACGAAGAAGGCTAAGAGCTTATAATACCTATAATATCGCTAGGGATTAATGCTACCCCCGGGGTACTATTAGCTAACTAATTAGAGGCAAGCAATTGTTAGTAATAAAAGACAATAAGACTATACTACTATAGAATCTACCTCTTTACTAGCGCACCCTACAAGACCCTTCTCTTAGCGCCCCTCTTATTCCTTTATTCTATAAAGGCCCTAAGGCCTAGTCGGTCGACGGCGCGCGCGTATATAAATAGTAGCGATAATAATAATAACGGCGTCGCGCTACGAGCTAGCGAAGGACGGCGCGGCTAGCGCGGCTATATTAGTAACAGTATTACGAAGTGTATTGCTATTAAGAAAGGACGGATACAGCTATATTAGTAACGGTATTGCCGAGTATATTATTAGTCGAAGAAGGAAATCGAAAGCAAGGTAAAGTTAGCGCTAAGACGACTAGCGCCGCTATTGTTAATATTACTTGCTATTATCGCTGCGCCGCAGGTACAAGCTTACCTGCACTACGAGCCTAAGGCACTATACTAGCTAAGTTAAAAGATTGAGCCTATTAAAGGTTTAATCAAAACTTTAAGGCCGAGTTAAAACTTTAACTAAGTTAAAAGATTAAGCGACTAATAGACTAACTAAGGGCAAAAACTATAGAGCTAAGCTAGCTAGGGTCGATCTTGCGGACAATAGGTTACTCCTCGATCTTTCCGACCCTTTAAGCAAGGCGAACCTTAACTATTGCACTTATAATAGCCTTTACCTATAGAAACTAGAAGAACTAAGTTTTTTGAAAAGATATAATTAGTTAATACTTGAAGGCTGCTAAACCTAACTAATTTAGGCTAGTAAAACTACGATAGTAAATAATAGCCCTTATAACAATAAGAACAATCCCTCGGAACGGACAACCCTCGGAAGCGGACATTGCTAGGTCTTTTAAGAGTAGACGCAAAGAACTCGGTACGACATTACTTAGAACGGAGGTAGGGCTACAATACCTCGTACGTCTACCTATTATAGTAGGGAAGACGCGCTCGTATTATAATTAGTCGAAGGTCCTTAATTCTCGTAGTTATATATTACTTTATTATATATAAGGATAGCGCAGTTAGAGTTGGACATTGTATTGTATTAGAGGTAAGGTTTAATATAGTTATATAATCGGTAGTTATGCGTTCAATTTAGCGCGGACTAAGCGGCTTATTAGACCTGCTAAGTTAGTAGTAATAGAGGTTGAGACTAGAACAAAGACCGGCTACGAGGGCGCGGCCTTTAGAAGGGAAGCGTGTATTAGGGCTAAAGAGGCTATACGTAATTAGTATATAACTAGGCCGAGTAAAGCTAGGGTCTTAATGCCTTAGGCAGGGCTTGGCGCTTAGCGTTAGGCTAACTCTCCTACCTTCCTCCCTCTCCTCCTAGCTCCTTATCGAATACTATACTAATTTACTACTACCCTATCTACCTGCTAACATAACCCTTCTTATAGAATACCTCCTAAGGTAGCAAGGCTATTTACCTAAATAGGACTCGTAGGAAGCTAAAGGATCCTTTAAGGATATAACCGAGTTATTAGATAAGTATTAGACTAGCGTAAAGAATAAGAAGAAGGCTAAAAGCTTATAATGTTACTATTAAGGCCTAGAACAATGCTACCCCTAGGGTGCTATTAGCTAACTAATCGGAGGCAAGCAATTGTTAGCAATAAAGGATAATAAGACTATACTAGGCGCGCTACGACGCGTTAACCAATTGCCTGCTCTTTTAAGGACTCTACCTCTTTACTAACGCGCCCTATAGATCCCCCTCTTATTCCCTTATTCTATCGAGGCCTCGAGGCCTAGGTAATCGGCGAGGACGGCGCGGCCGGCGCGGCTATATTAGTAATAGTATTGCGGAGTGTATTGCTGCTTAAGAAAGGAAGGATATAGCTATGTTAGTAACGGTGTTGCCGAGTTATTATTAGTTAAAGAAGGAAATTAGAAGTAAGGTAAAGTTAGCGCTAAGACGGCTAGTTCCGCTATTATTAATATTACTTACTATTGTTACTACGCCTACAGGCACAACCTTACCTACACTACGAGCCTAAGGCACCTTTAATTAAAACTTTGATTAAAACTTTAAGCCGCTTAAAAGATTAAGCGACTAATAGACTAACTAACTAAGGGTAAAACTATAGAGCTAAGCTAGCCGGGGTCGATCTTGCGAATAATAGGTTACTCCTCGATCTATCTAACCCTTTAAGCGAGGCGAACCTCTACTACTACACTTATAATAGCCTTTACCTATAGAAACTAGACGAGCTATGTTTTTTGAAAAGATAAGATAAGATTAACACTTAAAGGCTGCTAAACCTAACCAATTAGGGCTAGTAAAACTATAATAGTAAATAATGGCCCTCGTAACAATAAGAATAGTAACCCTCGGAAGCGGACAAACCCTCGGAAGCGGACATTACTAGGTCTTTTAAGAGTAGACGCAAAGAACTCGGTACGACATTACTTAGAACGAAGGCAGGGCTATAATACCTCGTACGTCTACCTATTATAGTAGGGAAGACGCGCTCGTATTGTAATTAGTCGAAGGCCCTTAATTCTTATAGATATATATCACTTTATAGTTTATTATATATAGAGATAGCGTAGTTAGAGTTGTATATTGTATTGTTTAGAGGTAAGGTTTAATATAGTTATATAATTAGGTAGTTAAGTGTTTATTTTAGCGCGGCTAAGCAGCTTATTAGACTTACTAAGTTAGCGGCAATAGGGGTTGGGATTGGAATATAGGCAGGCTACGAGGGCGCGGCCTTTAGAAGGGAAGCGTATATTAGGGCCAAAGAGGCTATACGTAATTAGCATATAACTAGGCCGAGTAAAGCTAGGGTCTCGATACCTTAGGCAGGGCTTGGCGCTTAGCGTTAGGCTAACTCTCCTACCTTCCTCCCTCTCCTCCTAGATCCTTATCGAATACTATACTAATTTACTACTACTCTATCTACCTACTAACATAACCCTTCTTATACTAGTAGGAGTCTTAGGATACTTGCTAGGTCGAATGTGTCTAGTAGTACCCTAATCCTCCCTAATCCTAATCCTTTCTAATCTAATCCTTCCTAACTACTAATCTCTCCTAGGGCCTTAGATCGCCTATATATAAAATAGACGAGGTCTAGCTATCTAGTAGCCCTCTTTATCGAGCCTCTAAGGTTACTATACCCCTATAAGCCCTTAAGGTAGCTTCTTATATACTACTAAATGCCTCTTTACCCTCCGCTTCTTACTAGAGACCTACTACTAGCTAGTATAATACTTATAGGGTACCTCTAACCGACCGTCTTATATAGGCGCTTTACCTCGAGCTAGTACGCCGCTTCCTTTACTCTTTACTTTATATACCTCGATTAAGTCTTCTTTAAAAGGCTTCTTATAGAGCTACTATTATATCGAGTTATCGATTTAGCTATTAAAAGAGATAATATAGGGTTATAGACGAGCTTAAGAAGGTATTATTATTTAAAGAGTTAGAAGTCCTTATAATCTATACTATCTATATATCTATCTACTAATATACGGCTTCTATACGCTAAGAAACTAGCTCTCTCACCGCTATAGTCTTCTACTCTTCCTTATACCGGCGGTAGCTATATCGAGTAATCTCTTATATAATCTATACTATATTATACCTAATAGCTATACTAGAAGTAGGCTTAGTATGCCTTCTAATTAGGTAACTCGTTCCTTAATTACTAAGGATTATAGATTACTAGATACTAAAGGAATCTCTTTAAATATCTATATACCTTCTCGTACTTAAAGCGCTTCTAAAGATGGCTTCTAACTACTAGAATAGGCTTAGTCGCCCACTAAGCAGTAAGGTCTGTTATAGAAACTCGAGCAACCGCAGTGAACACGCAGGTCTATGGGTTTGGTTATGGGGGAAACAGCATCGGATCGACGCACGCTCCCCTCGGAGCACGGCGCTGCGCCAAGAGGCAGGGCAGGCATGTTGGCCGCCGAGGCTCTTCGCCTGGGTGATAAGATGTCACCAGCAAGACCAAGACACCGATAAGCAACGCCTCAATGGTGCATGGCGGCGACCGCGGATTAGCCGAGCGCTATCAATATGCCCTTGTTCTCTTTGGCTGGTCTGCGACACAATTGCGTGGAGCAGTGGTATGTTACGTATGTACTGGCTAGCGTAGCATCCAGGACTGCCATGTGCCCTAGCGTGGCCTAGGGCGGTTGTAAGTATATGGACTTGTGCCCGTCTTCTTCCACTCTCAAGCATTGACGCTCCGGGATTCGAAGCTGGGCGCCCGCGTGAGCTTCTTTTCACCATGAATCGCTTACGTCGACCATGGACGGTCCACCGGACGAACACGGATGACGTGCAGATGAACACTTTGCACGACAATGGCAAGAAACCGGCCCGTGACAACTCGGATGAAGAGCTCGCGCAAGCGAACGACGAGAAGATCATTCAGACTGGGAGGATAGAGCCTGTAAACGGAAATCGACAAGGCAATCCCACGGAAATCGAGGTTGATCTCAGCCATGTCGTGGAAGACAACGAAATCAAGGACCTGGACGGCGATACGTCGCCATATCCGGAAGTGGTAAGTAGGATCAACTCAGCACCAAATCCATGGGATGAGAGTGCCATATGCATGACTTGAGCTCACAGAGATGGCCAGCGCGCGGTTGTACCAGAAACAGACGATCCATCGATACCTGTGAACACGCTTCGGATGTGGTTGCTCGGAATCATTTGGGTCTTGATCGGTGGCGGCGTGAACCAGTTCTTCTCGCTCCGTTATCCCGCCGTTCATATCGTATCCATCGTTGCTGAATTGCTGGCCTATCCTATGGGTGTTGCACTGGCTCACATCTTGCCAATCATGACCATCAACATCCCATACTTCGGACCATGGACCGTCAACCCGGACAGACACTTCAATGTCAAAGAGCATGTGGTCATTGTCATCATGTCGAACGTGACAATCGGCTTCGCAGGAGGTGCAGATGCAAGCAATGTCATTCAAGCGGCCATGAAGTTCTACGGGTTTGACATTAAGCCGGGCTTCAGTGTCCTGGTCGTCCTCTGCTGTCAACTCCTCGGGTTTGGGATTGCAGGTCTCTGCCGACAATGGCTAGTAGAGCCAGCGAACATCATCTGGCCTGGCGTCTTGGGCAACTGTGCGCTGCTAAATTCCCTACACAGTCGAGCAAACGTCGTTGCAGACGGATGGAAGATCTCCAGAATCAGATTCTTCATGATCGTCATGGCTTGTGCGTTTGTTTGGTACTGGTTTCCCGGGTTAATGTTCGTTGCGCTGAGTTACTTCACCTGGGTCTGCTGGATCGCTCCTAATAATATCGTCGTCAATCAGTTATTTGGCTTCCAGACAGGTCTCGGACTGAGCCCGATCACATTTGACTGGAGTCAGATTGCTTACAATACCAATCCCCTCCTTTCGCCTTCTTGGGCTGCTATCAACGTCTTTGGTGGCTTCGCCTTCTTCTACTGGATCGTGGTTCCTGGCATATACTACACCAACACTTGGTTCACTGCTTACCTTCCAATGATGACAGCGGACGTCTACGATCGCTTTGGTGGAGAGTACAATGTCACAAAGGTTCTGACTCCTGATGGGACCCTGGATCCTGTCGCCTACGCAGAGTACTCTCCGCCGTACTTGAGCGCTACATTTGCATTTGTGTATGGCTTGTCTTTCGCTTCCATCACTGCCGTGCTTGTCCACGTCTGGCTGTGGCACGGTAGCGATATCTACGAAGCTCTTCGAGGTCGCCAGAAGCTTGACATCCATGGTCGTCTCATGCGAGCATACAGGGATGTGCCCTGGTGGTGGTATATTGTCCTGCTTGCTGTGTGCTTTGCGATGTCGTGTGTTCTGGTCGAGGTCTTCAACACAGAGCTTCCCATCTACGGAGTCGTTCTTGCACTTTTGATTCCTGCAATTTACATGGTTCCATGCGGCATAATCCAAGGCATCACAAACGTCGATGCGAATCAACTGAATGTGCTTTCGGAATTTATTGGAGGCTACATGTTCAAAGGAAAGCCTCTTGCAAACATGGTATTCAAGATCTTGTCGACCGACGTTGTTAGTCAAGGCATTTTCTTCGCCCAAGATCAGAAGCTGGGTCATTACTTCAAGGCATGATCACTTTTTGCGTCCACTATCCACTAGCTAACCATACTACTCGCATAGGTCGCTCCCCGAACTGTCTTCTTTGCGCAAGGACTTGCTACCGTTCTTGGGGCTCTATGTCAGACTGGAGTAACTCTGTGGATGCTTGGCAACATTGACGATATCTGCTCTAGTGATCAGAAGGATTCGTTCACATGTCCGAATGGCAGAACGGTGTTTTCAAGCTCCGTAATTTGGGGCTTGGTCGGACCCGGAAGACTATACAGCGTTGGCAAGATCTACAGTTCCCTGCTGCATTTCTTCTGGCTTGGATTATTGGTACCCGTCCTGAGCTGGGCTGCGTGGAAGTATACCAAAAAGGACTGGATCAAGAAGCTCAACTGGCCCTTGATCTTTGTGGGAACGTACAATGTGCCTCCTGCCACGGGTAAGCAGGAGCAGCCCAAGGTCTGAGACATGTGCTGACATTCGATTCATTACGTTGTAGGCATCAATTACTCCTCGTGGGCTCTGGTCAACGTCATCTTCAACCACAGCATCAAGAAGAAGTTCTTCGCGTGGTGGGCCAAGTATAACTACATCCTCGCGGCTGCCATGGACTTTGGTACTGCGTTTTCGGGCATCATCATCTTCTTTGCTGTGAGCTATCCTGGATACTCCTTTCCGGACTGGTGGGGCAACACGGTGTTTCTCAATACGGCAGACGGAAGAGGTGATGCCTGGAAGGCGATGCCGTCCGTCGGCTATTTCGGAGCGGCCAACGGGACGTGGAGCTAGGGAACATGTGTGTTCGTCGAGGACTATCGTAGTGTCATACTCGATCTGCTTGTCTTGACCCCGATGTTTCGGCTATGTTCCAAGCCTACCTTGCTCTACATCACGGGCATCACCTGTTGGTGTGCGATGAGGCAATGACTAATCGCTGACAAGGAATCTTACTTCGCCCACAATTCACCCTGCCGAGCAGGCGGGCTGCTGGTATACGCTTTGTCAGCGCAGATGCTGAGCGCGAGCGACTTGCAAGTTGTATCAGGCGAGAGCCAAGACAGGTGATGCGATTCGGGAACGTCCAAAAGACGTTCCCTCAACATATATTCATATTCCCGCACCGATGCGCATGGCGATCTGACCACGAGATTTCCATGTCACGACGCACCCCCGCTCCCGATCAGCAGCACATCCCGATGCAGACAAAAGATGCTCGAGTACGGCCTCCGCCGTCTGTGATTGCGTATTCTATCGAGCGGCGCGGCTGGAGAAGGATTGTACTGAACAGGTCTACAGTCACGACAGTACTAAGTCACGTCGAAAACCACCACTGTGGCACTGTTTCGTCCCTGCTGGGGTCCGGCAATTTCGTGAGCACAAAGTCAGAGCAGTGAGCACAAAGTCAATGCTTCAGAGTTCTGCAGTCGCCGCTGTTTGTTGGACTAGGATACAATATTTCGGCAGTATTTCCATCGCTAGCGTCATCCACTCCCTTCCACCCCAGCCCGTTTACCTTGCTTGTCAACGGGACTGTGGTACCCGGTTGGCACCATCCCCTTCCAGCATGCTCGCAAGGCGCTTCGAGTAGCCATGTTCTCGGCATTTGCCTCAGAAGCATGTCCAATAATCACACATGCTTTCTGCATCAACCGCTTCGCGGGCTTCATGCCCAAGACTGCTGCGAACTACTGTCTCTCTCTTCATCATCAGCATTCACTCGCTCGCGGACGAGCAAGCGCGCGCGCGCGCTGCAGAACTCGTGCACAACACCTTCTCTCGCCTCTCTCGCTGGCCGAGTCACTGCTTTTTGACATCAGTGGCCAAGGCAGATTCCGTCCCTACAATCCACACGTCGTAAATTGGCCTCGATTGCGCAAAAGGTAAGTCGCGACCACCGTCCGAACCCCATCGAGGTGAGAAATATGACTGATATAATCAGTATTTCGTGGAGATGAAGCTTTTCTCCTCGCTCTTACCCATACTCGCCATTAGCTTCAGCATCTTCGCCTTCGTCGCTGCTGGCGTCGCGTGTCACAAGCAAGGCGCGCCGTGTTCACATGGTAGCAAAGGAGGGGTTTACACTCAAGGCACGGTTGGAATCATTGGTGGTGGAGGGCCTTTCGCGAAGGTTGACAATGGTATGGGTGGTTGCGACCGCAGGAAAGGGGGCTGTTAGACTGGGCCCGCAAGCTGAAGCCGGAATACTGACGAGGTATATGTGATGAATGCGATGGAATCGGACGACATGATTCGATTCTGTGTTTTGATGTTACTGTTGCATTGGATGTCGGAGTAGGCGGGTCTTGCCTCTGGAGGCTAAGGTATCTGGAACTTCTAACCTGTGTATGTAAGAGTGGAACCATTGGCAGTGTCATGCTCTCCCTTGACCAAGTGAGACACTTGTCGTGTCGAAGGTACGGGCTACTGTTCCGTAAGCCTCACGCAAGTCATTTGATAGACGGAGTGAGAAGTGGTAGATATAGTGTACATGCCAATGAAAGCGCCGGCTTATGTGGCTTATGCATAGTGGTAACAATCCATCGTTTTCATGCTCGCATCAATCCCAGCTATAGAAGCGTCAGCAGCAGCTCGTCGTCCGACATAGCCGTATTGTTATTGATCATGCGACATCATACCCTTGGTCTTTCTGCCGTACAATGTCTCCCGAATTGCCTGTCTGCTCTCCAGTCTTGCCGCCTTCGACCACTAATCGATCTAGTTGGAAGAATTGCGATATCACTGTTTGTCTCTGCGCAAGCCATGGTCAGCCGTGGATGATGCGCAAGCAAATGTAATGCCTTGGGTGCGTGCAGGCAGAAGTGCCAGTTTCCCACTCACCTTCAACATCCGCAGCTCTTTCAGCGCCTTCTGCATCAACTCCTGTATTCGCCGGCCATCTGTTTCTGTCGAATGTTCCCTAAAGGCATCTCGCGTTCTTCGTTGCGCGTATTCTCTGAAATTATAAGCGGCGAATTGTCGACTTGTGCGGAGTAAAGATCGGTAGAGCGAGCGTACTTGGACGGCTGAGGTCGACGACATGCCAGAGAGGGGGGGTGTATGTGGTCGCGGGGTGGTCAATCGAAGTGACAGTTATGGGATGGGATGGAAGCTCGGCGGAAGGGGAAGGGAAGGCGGAAGTCGGTGTGGCGTGGCGTGGCGTGGCTGGTGCCGAATGTGGCTGTTCAGCAGGGAGAAGGGAGTTGTGTATACTAAGACTGTAGACTCCAGCGTCTGCACTGTCACGTATATCGCATATCGGACATGCTTCAATCATTCAATAATACATTCATGCAGTAGTTTCTTCGATCACGCCAAGCATCCATGGCTCCGGTCCGTTCACTCTCCCTCTCCCTCTCCCTCTCCCTCTCCTCTCCCTGCGCCGCGGAGAAAGCCGCATCCGCGCGTGAACATTCGCTGACATGGCACATCTCGCCCAGTATCGTCCGCCCGGCCGCAGCAATCGCTCGGGCAGGTCAAATGCCGACAATGATGTCTTCGAAGGCCTGCCCGTCAAGCAATGGGGCCAATCTTATGCCAAAGTCTCGCTGGCGCCTCCACAGTCCGAGACGGAAGCAAAGAAGGACGACAAATGGGCCGAAGGCTCCATGCCACGAGACTATCAAGTACGTCCCGTGTCGTTGTGCCACCTAGCTTCTCTCATTGCCTGTCGAACCCTCCCTTCCGCCCAGAGCTCCTGACATGTCCCAGCTTCTGCATCCATGGACGCAACATCTTCTGAGATTGGCTAGATCGGGCCAAGTAGGCACCAAGCGAAAGCAGGAAGCCGACCTGGATGAAGACAAGCCCGAAGATGAAGCCGCCGAAGAAGAGCCCACCAAGAACACCAACTTGCCTGAAGAAAGAGGCTATGTCGCGAAGAAATGGAAGCCCATCCCCGAACATGCTCTTGAGCCTGAGCACAAGCACTTCAATTACCTCGCCAAAAGACGTCGAGGCCTCCCGAGCTTGTATGCTCCCGATGTTGCAAATGGTGTGGCGGTGCCGATGCGAAAAACGAAAGTGCAAAAGACAGATGCCAACGGTGAAATTGCTGTCTACGACGTCCTGGTGCCAGAGGGCCAGGTCCTCGAGGGTGAGATCGCAGAGTCCACCGAGTTAGCGCACGTGAAACTTGTCACCGCGGCTCCAGGCACTATCATCGAGGGAGTCGGCGTAGCTAATGACGAAGGCGTTGTTGTAGCCGAGCATCTCAGGCCTAACGCTACTCGGCGAAATAGGCCTCCTCCGAAGAAGAAAGGCGGACCGGGAAGAGGCAAAAAGCGGGTGACGTTCACCAATCCGGACGGTAGTACCTACACGACCATCGTGCCCAATGCGACAAAGATTGTTCCCCAGCCTGGGCAGACAGTGAAGCATGTTGCCAAAGGCGAAGAAGCTTCGGCCGACATCTCTGCCGAAGAGGCTGCCAAGAGAGCGCCATCCCAGACTGGAGAGGAGGGTGAAGAGGGAGATGACGATGATGATGAGGAAGGTGACGGCGACGACGATAGAGAAGAGGGCGAGCTTTCCGATGACGATGCACCGGCGACAGGCAGCCAGACGCCAGCGAAATCAGAATCAAATAGTGAATCTCAGCCTATGGAAGATGTCAGACCAAGCCAGCCTGCGCCGACTAGTCAGCCGTCAGTCGAGCTCATGTTCAACGCCGACGTTTCTGAGCCGGAAAAGGCTCCAGAAAAGCAGCCAGAGACCATGGCACCGTCAGCACCGTCCGCGGTGCCCGCAACAGAATCCGTGCGCGACGCTTCCAGCTCCCCCGAAATGCCGCTTGCCAAGAGCCATAGCAGGACAGCTTCTCTCGTAGAGCCACCGCCTGTCTCGCTTGACTCCGAGCCCGATGCTGGGGAGCCACCCGCTGCAGCATCACCTGTAGACGCCGAGCCAGGCATAGCTGCCGTTGCGAAGCTTGACGATCTTCCTCCTGAAGCCATTGTTGCAGAAGCCATTCCTGAAGTCGTAGAGGGAGAGCCTCCCGAGCCGGTGGCAGAAATCGCTGCCGAAGCTGTTGTACAGGACGGTGAGAAATTCGAGGACGGAGAAGAGGATCTGCTCGGAAATCTAGAGAAGCACCTTGGTGGCGATGGGAATGGCGAGGGGTAGTGTTCCAACGACCAGGACCATTGTGATGAGGCAAGACAAGCTTGGGAGCGAGATGTTTATGGCTAGTATTGACAGAATCCTCTGGCAGTGATACCCGCAAGAGCGTGTTAGTTGATGCTTCGCCGCCTTTGCTGCCGACGTGCGTGGAGTGCGCGAGATTGAGCTCGAGAAGCGGTCATATCATGGCTTCCGAGTTGCGGTGAATGTTCTTGAGCAATATCAGTGTGGTTATATGAAAAGTATACTGGAGATGGAAAGGATAGTGAACGAGGAGGTGTGGGAATCGGAAGAAGAATACTGATGAGACATAAGATTTGGTGTGAGGACTAGGCCGCGATGTGTCCATAACTAGCTCGTATGGAGCTGAACCCACTTGGACGGCTCCCTCTTCACGGCGAACCGACAGGTCTGGGTCAAGGCCGTGCTACACTATTGATATGTGTCCTCTTCCACCAGTTGTCCTAGCTCAAGTCGCGTCATACCGTTCTTGAGTAGGTTGACGCCTTCGATGTACAAGTTCTTGAACTTTGGCTGACTCTTGACGAGCGTTAACAGCTTCTTGACGTCTAGGTCGGCGCATGAAAATGCTAGCATCTCTAGCTGTGGCAATGTCTGTTCCAGCAATGCGGCCGGCAACGAGCTGCATTCGGCTGATTTGGCGTTGAGAAGAACTGCTGGCGAAGTCTCCGTTGCAACCTGGCAAGTCGGACTTATAAGCGTTGAGGGTGAGGGAGTTGAGCTTTGGAACCTCGGCGAGGATGCTAGCAAAATCTGCCGTAGAGTTCCTGACTGCTGTTGCGTACTTCTCGCCCTGAAGCTCGTTGGATACACTTTCGACCCATGCCGAGAGATCGAGTTCCTCAGTCTGTTGGAGCACGTTCTTCAAATTCAAAAGGTCGACTATCGTCGCTTGCAGGAGCGCTGAAGCCATGTCGGCAGCAAGCATTCTTGTAGTCCTCGAAATTATCTGGTCGTAGGGAAGACAATTCCTCATCACCATGAGCGAGCTCGATCTCGACCGGTCCTCCATATTCCTTGACATGCTCGAAGAGCTCGGTCATGGTAGCGATGTCAACGCCGCTTTCTCTTATGCACCCTTGTGCTTGCATGGCCTCGCACTCCCATTCCGACCTCTCAAAGCGTTCAGGTTTTTCAACAGGCCATAGCTGCAGACTCTGCCACCACTCCCGCCTGCGAAGCAGCATTTCGTCGCTCGCAACCTCTTCGATTGCGAAAGCCAGCTTTTTCACAGGCCGTCCATCTTGGAGACCCTTGACAGTTTCGACTGCTTCCAAGATGCTTTTGGCAGAGCGTAGAAGAATTGAGAGCTGGTTTGGAGCTAGATCGCAGACTCCTGTCGTGGCCATGGAGATGCCATCTTCTCTTGTGCGTTGGCGTAGTCTGAGCTGCTGCGAGTTCACGCTACCAGTTGGCCGGTCTGGAAGTTCTTGCGCTGAGTGAGCTGTGGTATTGTGTCGGCCGTTTCGCAGGGGTAGATCGCAGTTCGGAAACCTGGACTGGCATGCCCTCATACTCGAGCTTTCTAGCGGCGAGTTCGTTGTGAGGCGACATTGCGGTTGCTTGAGGATAGGTTGTTCGCGCTAATGTCTCTCGAGTGCATATAGGTACTCGACCGGCTTGTAGTGATGTTGGTGATGGTGTTGATGAAGAAGTTGTACGCGACAAACACACGATTGGACTCGTTATATTCATAGAGCCGCACTTTGTGGCGCAGCAAGCATGTGATGGAAAGCGCAAAGTGAGGGCGTGCACAGACCTCTCATGTGAGGATTCCCGCGAAGCATGTGATATTGTGAAGTCGGACGGTATAGCTCGTTTGGTTCGACAGATTTATACCATTGTCTCTGCAATTCAGGGCAGTCTTCACCATGCGTTGTTCATTTCTGCCCTTACTTGTTCTTAGACAATACCATGTAATCCTCCTGCTGCATCTGAATCCACTTCGGGGGACTGTTGTCGCGCGGCGGACTTTTCAACCATTCCTCCCAATCCTCACGGAAAGTTATCTTCAGAGAAGTCCGTGTTCTTGAATCAAACACAGTAGTATCGTTCGCCTGGAGATACCGCATTCGAAAGCGGCCATTCCTCGTGCCCGAGAGCATCGTTATAAAATTTGGAGCCTTGTCGTCTTCTCTCAGGTACGTGTATTTGCGATGCATGATTTCTGGCACGATGGCAGGAAACACGCGGGAGAGCTGAAGTGTGCTGTCAGAGAAATCACCAATGACGGTGAAGACCACGAAGTCGCCGTTGACCTCTTGACAAAAATCGTCAGCATCTCGCTTGACCTTCATGGCCCAGTCTATAGGATCTAACAGCAGAAAGAAGAGACCAGCCTCCCACACGTCACTGCAGTATGCGATGAGGCCATGAATGGGCTTTGGAAGAACGAGAGGTTCTTGCTGTTTGGCTAAGAGAGCCGCAGTAAGGGAGTCGGTAGCCAACCTTGCAAGTCCCAGCTTTTCATGCCCCATCTGGTGATCTACTTGTGCCTTTGCGCAATCGCCATAGCGGGCCCAGACTTTGTTCAGGATTGGGTACTCAACATTGTCGCCCAGGTAGTATTCTAGATCTTTAAGCTTACTGGTCATGTCTGATCGGCTGACAGTCAGAGCAGGTAGATATTTCGGACTCTTCTCGTCTCTGTTGCCAATCTGAATGGGAATCAAGCTCTGATCTACCTGCATCCCAGAGGACAAGAGAATTGCAATGTCCAATTGTCCAAACTCGGTCTCGTTGCCGGTGGCGCGTTCGTGGTCATTGTATCGGAAAATACGCTCGCCAGTGATTAAGGGTTCTTCTTGGCTGAAGTCCACAAATTGGATGTCTGCAAAAATTGACGAGCCTAGACCGTGACCAAGCATCTTCAGCACGACGTCCCGAATGCTAAGCTGCCGATCAGAGTTTGTGGGCTTTGCGTGTGGACAGACCAGTCGATTCGCATCAGCACCCACAATCCCGTGCTTCTTGAAAAGCTGCAGGCGGTTGTCGTGGAAAATATAAACGTCGAGGATAATGCTACGATAAATCGGAGTGGATGCTTTGTCCTCGGCCTTCAACATTTCGACAGCCTTTTTGGCGTTGTACCGGCTCAAGAATGCACCAGGCCTGAGAAGGAGCCAATGAGGTCGGACCATCTTGTTGTGCTTTGTAGATAGCAAAGTGTGCCGATGTGATTAGAGGGAGAAGGTTAGCAGCGCGCGCAGACGTTGATATATTTTCTATGCCTGGATCTCTATGCCCCAAAGGCAAATATTTGAAAGCTTGCCTGAAAAGCAGCAATATTGGCTATGATTGTCTTAGCAAACAGATAACTCCATGGCCTTGATGTTTGATGCAGATGAATGCTTCTTTCACTTTCGTAACTTCGTAACATTCGTGAAAGGTCATGGACGGCGATTCCAACAGTCGCCAACTTCCACATGCTTCCGTGTTGTCGGTGCTGTTCGTTTGAGCAGCGTCAGCAGAGCTGCTGATGAGCCGTATTGGGCTCAGCCCATCATACTTGGAAGCAATTTTCCACATTCATTTCGCAGCGGCTTCACTTCCAAGCAGCTTTGCCATCTCTATTTCTTCGTGTCCTTCCTGTCATTTATTCGTCTTGATTCTATTGGGCAATAGCGCAGTTGTAAGGACGCAAACCAAAGTGACTCCGCCGCTCAGGTACAAGACCTTCTTGATCGAAGTGATGTCGCTCAAGCCACCATCAGTCATCGCGCTCTGTGCGACGATCGGTGCAAGAATTCCAAACAGCCTGCCCAAAGTGGAGGCAAGACCACTTGCTGTACCACGAATGGCCGCCGGGAAGACTTCGGGAG